GAAAATCGAATCTACCATGTTTTCGTTCTAAGGTCTCGTTGATCCCAGGTGTGGAGATAACCCTAGGTACCCCAAGAGAGGACAGAGTACAAGCCTCCATGGCCAAGTAGCTTTGTACCCGGGTGCCTTTGCTTGGGCTAGAGTTTTCCAATCCCCACCTCCCCACATGCTCAAACCTATCCACTAGGCCCTAAATCTTGGAACCCCGGAGGATCTTTCGCACTGCACCTGCGGGGTGCACTGCGGTGGAGCGGCCGCCACATGTGGAGACGTGCGCGGCTCCTCTCTTGCAGGTCTTTCACAATGGGGGGATCCTTGAGAACCCCAAGGATGACACAAGAAACATGGGGGCTTCCTAATTCTGGGCGTTACGGACGCTACAGCCCTAAACCAAAACCCCCGCGGCTGTTTGAACATATTTTACAGTTTGAAAAGAGTAGTTTGGAGCCATGATCATGACTGACATTCCGATAGCCAGGGTCAGCAAACTTGACAACATTACGACAACCGCACTTTTTGAGCGGTGTGGGATTGGAAAGAACACCAGACGCGTAACCTTATATGAGGGCTCGATGCTCGGCAACACACCCGGAAGATGGCGGCATGATTACACGTCGTTTTGATGGTACTTTTTTGAGTACATATCATAGCCACAATCGCAGGCATCACGCGGAAGAGGTGGTAGGTACAAGCCTCAAGATAGGGTTTTTGCGGTTGCAACTTCCGGGCATATTTGGAAAATGGCCTGGTTCGAAGTCGTGACCCAACAGAATCCTAAGCCATAAACCTTGAACCCCAAGCCAGTTTCCGAAACGCGAAGAAGCAAGTGTCCCAACACTTCGATTGTTGAAATTTCCTGCAGCTCTGCCAGCTCTGCTGCAAGTCATGGGACATCAACTGTTCATAGTATTCCGTGCTGTTGATAGCATTCATTTTTTCATATTGCTGCCGAAGTGTTGATTTATTATTGTCAATTTTTCATGAGAATTTTGATTACTTTGGGTATCTGCCCCGCTCTAAATCCAAGGCTCGAACCTACCCATCCGCCCATTTCCTGCACTGGTCCCGTCTCACAGGTGGATTCTTCCACAGTGTCGGGCGTGGCCTCTGGGAAATGTCTGCTTAGGTTGCGGCGTTCATGGTGTAGGGTTTCCGGCAGGGGGTTCAACTGTTATTGGATGCATTCCGCCTCGCTCATAATACGCGTCTGGTTCACGCAAGCCAATTCACATCTTTGATGGTTTTTAATTATATGACCCACGTATCGAAGTTTGAACCCCAACTCGTAAGCGGTTCCTCCTACCATGGTTTCATCCTTTGAACATCTCAACCGCATGCTCGAGCTGTTCTAAAGCAAGAGCTTAAGCGTTTTGCGATGGGGTTTTCTGGGATATATTCGGGCGCAAGTTACCGCAAAGAGCTGGACGTGGCGCTGCTTTGAGTCACGTACAGTGATAGATATGCAGCTTTCGGAAAATTAGAGATAAAGGGCCAAAGTATAATGGAGTGTGTACAAGGTTGCCCTATTTCTGGAAGCCTTCATATTGAGATCAAGTCTACATGCTGCAGGCTGCGGCCTTCCAAGTTGTTCAGGACGTCCACATTCAGTCAGCGACGGAAATTGTTGTTGTTTGGAAACTCCAGATACACATTTTTTGTCAAAAAGCAAGACCTTGAGCTCTCCAGCTTTTCCAAACACTGTGAATTGCCAGGCTGGCTGTTGCAAAGCATTTGGAAGAGCAAAACTCAGAAATGGGAGCTGTTGGCGGCGCAGGCAACATGAAAAGGACGATCATGAAAGTAGTGTTGACGGAATTGCTGAATGTCATCTCACGTGCAAAATCTTCAAAACTGCCCGATCGTAACCAGAAGTGAAAGCAATCATGGCAGTCTCGCTGAGAAGTATAACGCCTACAGAAGATGGCAGCATTGAAGCATCAGCTGGCTGAATTTTCGTAATGTTCGATGCTTAACGAGCACGTATGCCTGAAAGTATAGCTGAGGAGATAGATGTCAACACTTCCAAATCATTAAATAAGGATTTACTGATGTAGGGCCCCAACCTCAACTCATACGCGCATGTACACATGTACACCTACATTTTTATATCTCTCTGCAAACCCCTTTGAAGGGACATAATTGCATCCCCATAGAAAAACCTTTACACCGTCAAACCCTAAACTGCAATCCTAAGACCATCCTTCGACTAACTGGCGCTCAAAGGAGATCGGGGAGTGGATCCCTATAATTACGCTTAAGGGTTTGGAGTTTAGGGTTTTGGGTTTAAAATGGTTTAAACTCTAAACCCTAAACCCACATAAATTAACTACCATAATGCGTTTCATATTTACTCCCCAACTCCCTCTTAAGCACCAGTGGGTAGCCCCAAACCAGCCTCTGGCCTAAACCATGCAAAGGACAGGCCAATGAGGCTGAACTGGCTGAACCTTACAATGTAAGCCTTAGTACTGGTTGATGACTCTTTTGAGCCCTTGGACAGAATTTAAGAAACATGAGGAATCTGAAACGGGTAACTGATCTCTGATGGTTGGGCATTGTAACTGCAGTATAGCTATAGAATACTTGCCTGCCTTTGTCTGTGGCCCTCAGGCGCGCCAAGCTCGCTTGTGTAGACCGTGCTACTTAACGAATCGGCCCTTCAAGAATCACCAAAGATAATTAATAGGCTTCCACTGGGAAAAATCCGCTTCAGTGGGGGCCTGATTTCGGTGCACAGTTTGCCCTTTCATGACTGTAGAAGACCTATGGAGGACTCACATAAGCTTCCACATTCCAATGCTTGATGCCTTTTCCTCCCAACGCCTGGGCAGAGGTATCTGTAGAAGTCTTGGCTGAGGTCTTAGTTTGCTTTGGCTTCATCGGTCAGGTGTACCCGAAGGGCTACGGCTATAGGGATACGCGGAAAACGGGCGGAGATCAATGATATTGAATAATGGCATGTTTTTGACAATTTGTGGGGGTTGGGGCCACTGTGTTACCTACTTCTGAGGTCCAGATAGAGACCATGAACCCCTTCAACAGAGCCTATGAGCCTGCGAAAGCCCGCCAGACTATGGTCTCACAGTTCTTGCACCCTGCCACCCGTTGTCCGAGACATACACGCCTGAAGCCCATGCAAATCCTAAACCAATTTAAAACCCATTGAAAAACAATGCAAATGCGCAGTTTGCTAGACTCCTCCCACTCTGTCGCAATAGATACTTTAGATGGGACGCTTTCGATGGGGTCCTCATAGTGAGCACTGAGCATGCTCCTGCCTTGTAGGAAGAGCCGCTAAAACCTTCCCTCCTGCTCTCCGCATTACAGCCACGAAGCACTTATAGTCCCCCTGAAGTAGATAGATAATGGGTATATGGGGATCGTATTATAATATACCCAAAGCCATGTTCTATCTACTTAAGGGGGAAAGTACAGTTTCGGGTTTAAGTGTAAGATAAAGCAAGCCTCCTGCAGGAGTACACAAAACCTAGATTGCTGAGACTGCTTTGAACATATAGTCCCCCTCAAGTAGATAGAAGATGGCTTTGGGTATACTATAATAAGACCCCCATATACCCCATATTCTATCTACTTAAGGGGCACTTTAACTTCTAACCCTAAACCCTAAGCCTCCAGAAGTCCTCAAAAACCAACACCATGAATGCATCCAAGATCTAGCAGCCCGCAGCCTCCACAGCCCTAATCTTACCTGTGGTTCAAATTGGAGCAGTGGATCAGTCCCCGATAGTGTAGCAGTTTCCATATCATTTCCCATGCCAGACTATGTCCCTGCATCGTCGCTACATAACCCTAGTCTCGATTCGCTTTTCAGTCCCTCATTTCCTGCCCCCAAATCCTAGGCCCCAGATAGTAGTTTTCATTTTCATTCCTTCACCCTAAACCCTAAACCAAACCCTACACCTAAACCCTAAACCCTAAACGTTAAACGCTAATTTTAAAGGCTAAACACCAAGATTCTAGGACCTAGATGATGGTTTCTGTGCGCTGTTTCCAGTCCTTCATTCCATACTGACAACCAGCAAGTAGTCACCTCAACCGCACAGTAGGGCCCGCTATGGTGGGTTGAGTTAGGTTAGCTACTGTGGATGGAAAGTTTGCACCATCTTGAATACTTTCTACCCAAGGAATTGTGGTAATTAAACCCCAAGATTAGGAGCCTATGGCCAGCACATGATGATCACAGCGTCCTAATTGTGGGTGTTGGGGTTACCAAAGTACTATTGGACTCCTAACTGGTGCCTCATTACTCTTCAGCTTTTGAAGCGTTTCTACATGTGGCATGATTCGGTATGCGTGCGACAAGTCTATTGCCGGCAGGTTAGGCGAATAAAAGATGAGCGCCGTCAAGCTGTAATGACCGAACAGCCTCAGCCTCTTGACTCCTAAAGCTGCAAACTCTAAGCCCTTAACCTCTACCCTAAATCCCCGAACCCCCCTGCAGCCACAAACCCCCCAAAAACAAAAACCTATTGACAGACCAGAAGCCTAAACGGTTGAAACTTTCAAATGACGCAAACCTTGCACCCCCTAATCCCCAAACCCCCTAGTCCCCAAAACCCTCCAAACTCCCAAACTGTAAGCACACTTTTCTTGCAAGAGTTATTCAGCATAATACCCCAAACACGCACCCCTCAATCTCGAAGCATCACCTCAGAATATGGACGGCAATTACAACATACCCCTTAACTTCTTGTAGAGGTAGGTATCCATTGGGGTTCGCTGAACAGTGCTTGGTCTCATGTCCAACCTCCTGGTTCTCAGTAGGGAATGAGGGAATATAATCCCTTCATAGCCCCTATATACTACATGTCCTTATTCCCTACCAACCCAAAAACGCGAAACCCTTAACCCTATATAGGTTAGGGCATATGCCCTACTAAGCCCCAGCCAACCAAAACCCAAAACCCCAAACCCAAAAACCTAAACCCTAAGCGCTGAAACCCCCAAAACCCTGAAACCTTGAACCTTCTTCGACGAGCCTTGACGTGACTTTGCTGGGGGAGCTCCTTCTGAAGCAGTGAACGAAGCTGCTCGGCCTGACGACATGGGTTCCTTGTCAGGGACTACAATACGGACTAATTACACCAAACTACAAGAGAAGCCCCTATGTCCGCTGTTAAAGGGTCAACAAGGCTAAGTTTGACAGTTGCTCATACTTATAAGCTATGTATAGTCTCAACCCCTGGTATCCCCCTTAACAAGCCCTATAATAGGAACCATAGATAGTCACTCATATAACCCACTTGAAGGAGTTTAGATGATGTCTCATACAGCATTTCATATCAACACAGCAAGCATCTGGTTTGGCGTCTGAGCCGGCACAAACTCATCCAACACCTATGTCGTGACAAGAGTTACGCAAACAAGCCCTTACTAGCCAAAACCCCAAAACAAAAGCAGCAAACTCTGACCTCTAAACCCACATGTCGAAACATCCTGCCCGCTGACGAATAAATCCAATGCCTAAGCCCCAATCCCTAGACACCGAAAAACCTCATCCCCAATATGATTCGCCAGGGCGGCCTGCTGAACACCAAGCAAAGGCTCTACCAGGCATCCCGCAGAATTAGTTCCTCGTAGTGGTATCTGAGATGAAACAATATATGTTTTGACTTCTGCTCAGCCTTTCGAATATAAACTGAACTAAAGCTGAATTGAGGCCTCCCTTTGTTATGAACGTAGTTGTATGTGAGCCAGTACGAACCAACCATCAAGACACAAAAAACTCTAGAGATTTTCCTCGCCACCTCAACGGTGTTTCCATGCTGAAGCCTGCATTGCTGTTTAGGATTTAGGGTTTAGGTTTCAGGTTTCAGGGCTGAGGGCTATAAAATCCCAAATAACTTGTAGTGCAGCCTCGGGGCAGGAACTTCCACTGTGTCAGCGTCAAGGTCACCCTCTGGAAGCATGAGGCTGCGGTAGCGGACGTTGACATTCCTGGGGCTTGAGCTGTAGGGTCCTAAGGGTCTAGGGATTAGGGCGTAGAGGTTTAGGTTTAGCGCTTCTACAGGGTTTGCAGCTGACAGGGCCTTGAGTCCAGGACATTGATATTACTCGGGGCTTGTGTGGCATGATGACTACTGTGCCGTACAAAATGCTATGAGATCAGGATGTTCCTGTGCTGATATACGTCTCTATGACTTTGTCCGGCAGTTCACTGTCTCGTGATGTTTGCTCGTACGCTGTCTCCTCTTCCGAGGCAGAGGATTCTGCTGCGTTTCGTGCTCCCTTCATGAGCCATGCTCATGAGTCTTTTTTCCTGCCCTTACCAATGTATCACAAACACATATTGAGATGCATTTGGTCAAAACTAAGGGGATCTTCTTGGCTCGAGTGTGTGCTGTACTAGGCCATTAGACCAAATGGAGTCCTCGGGAAACTACTATAGAAAGGGGTTATAATATAGGGGTACCCTATAGGGACAATGGAAAAGAAAATGGAAACTACTGGATTATGAGAGGATCTTGGCAACTTCGACCATGGAAATTGGAACCCTGACGAGACTCTGAGCCGACTACAAGAATCCAAAAAATTGGCGCCCTAAACACTAAACCCTTAACCCTATAGTCCCCCTTAAGTAGATAGAATATGGGGTATATGGGGATCTTAATATAATATACCCAAAGCCATATTCTGTCTACCTAAGGGGGGACTAGAAATCGGTTGTCATTAAGGGGAACCCTTGCGCCTCGAGCCGCTCGTCGTGGTTTGCAAGACGGGCGGAAACACATACCACGAGCAAACTCCAAGTTCGCATGCAAACTTGCATAATCCTTGGGAACCCAATGAACCCCCTAAACCCTAAACCCTAAACCGCATTCTTATAAGCCCGGGCTACATGGACGATTATGGTTTCATGCCCCATCTAGCAACCAACCTGAGACCCTTACATACTTTGGGTTTAGGGTTTAGGGTTTAGGGTTTTTTTGGAGCGTCCTGTGACCCCGCTCCACGAGCCATAGCCTTGATGGCTCTAACCTTTAGCCCTAAACCCGGAACCCTAAACAGGCTCTGAGAGCTTTGCAAGAAGCGTCCTCTCATCCCCAACCACTTCCTCGTCCCAATCACCCAGCAAAGATTAAGGCTTGGGGTTTATAGCTAGACCTCAAAATTATGTAGAATAATGTCCCTTTTGGCAATGTATAGGAGCTTTGAATGTTGAGTCACGAGTTTGCATACTTCTGGGGCTTGGGGCTCAACTTCCACTAGCCCAACTTCTTCTAAGAGTAGTGCTAGGTAGACGAGGCTCTGAGTCAGCGTCCAAAACCATGTAACGCCACATTGCCTTGTGTGTTCAGGCTTTGCGCTTGTCATGAGCAGAGCAGGTGCAGGTGCAGGTCGGAGACGGTTCAGGGAAAAAAGTGTTACTGTTCCAGGCATGCCTTTCAGCTTCCGAAAATCGAGGCTCTTCACCCCAAACCTTAAACCCTTCGTCGAGATGCAGCGGCATCACCACGTCCGCGCCCATGTAGTTCTTCACCGGAACTAAGTCAACCACGAGTGAGCCTTCCTGAAACTTACAGGGATATAGTACTTGGAGGGTCAGGGGGACTTAGTAAGTAGGTCAAAAATGGGGATATTTAGGGTTACTATATGGGTTATAGGGTTATGAACCTCCTTACTAAGCCCCCCCCTAGGGAATCAAGACATGTAATATCGGGTTTAGGGTTTAGCGTTAGTAGCGCATAAGGCAACATATGATCCCTATGCAGTATATTCCCATATTCCCTAGTAGCCCCTAGCAAGTCCTTATGGCTCTGAGTTTAGGAGTTCACGGTTTACAGCGTTACGGGTTTGGAGTTTATTGTGCACAGGGTTTTTGGGCCTTCAGGGACTCAGGAGTGCAGCTTGAAGCGCAGCACTGTTGGTGCGAAGTTGCTGCTGGCACGAATTCTGGGAGAGTTGAAGCACAAAGTTCAACAGCAACTCCTTGACAGACAACTCCACCATCAGTTTGGTAATTGCAGACTCTTCCAAAACTGCGGAACGCCACCTTCAACATCTTGAAATTTTCATGGACTGCAATACTGTGTTGTTCTCTGCTGCACCACTCACATGCAGCCTCACCTGGCAGAAAATGAAAACTAAGATGGAATTAGAAGCCTCAGTTACACGCCCAAACCGTTTGAAGCATGGCACTGAAGCTCTGAAACACGGCTGAAAGGCCTAGAACCTTGGATTTAAGGCCTAAACCCTCAACCCTGAACCCTAAACCCCTAAACCCTAAAGCCCCAAACCCTAAACCCGCAACCCGAAACTCTCAGCTCTAAACCCTTCGTCTGACTGACACGCTCACGGCCACTCCCTCCACCATCCCTACTGTTCCTGGTTTTAGGGTTTACCGTATAGGTTAAAGGTTTAGGGGTTTAGGGTTTAGGGGTATAACTTGCATCAGACTCCATGTAGCCCAAAGGAAGGAATCCTCAGCGTGCCCTCTGCATGGATGCTAATTAAACCCTGAACACCCATCATGGCACCCTAAATCCTAAAACCCTAAACCCCTAAACTCTAAAGCCCTAAACCCTAAGCCCTGCACGACTCCTGCATGTAGAGGCTGTTCGCCAAACAGGCGCCGCTAACAGCGACCGCTGCATCTGCAGCTGCGAAAGCTGCAACTTGCCTAAGGATGTATAGGTTTTCAGGGCTTAGGGTTTAGATTCAAGGCCTTGCGCTTCAGCCTTTTGCCGCGTTTCGGGCTTGCGGGGTTGGAGATGCAAGGTGTACTGCTTCCGGGGCCTCAAAAAGTAAGAGCAACAAGGATCGCCACATGTTCAGCACATAAACCAGCATCTCCTCCTGCTCCTTCTCATCATCATCACTGAGAATGATGGTTTTATGGCTCGTAGGGCGTAGCACTTTTGTGAAGGCGGCCTGACAAGAATGCTAACCAATTAACCAAAAAATCTATCCCAAACATGATAAGGAACAACATTAGAGTCCAGCTGAGTGGAAGGTTCAGCCTATACCCGCCAGAAAACTCCAAAGCATTTTTTGGAGTAATGTCTTTCCCTCATTACACATCGTCATGAGGAGTTTTCATATAAACCCTAAACCCTTACCCCAAGGGGTGGAGGGTGTTTGCAATGATCACTTGCTGGTTGCTAGTAGGACAAGGATCCCTAGAAGCCACTATGTTTAAGGTTTAGGCTTCAGGGTTTTGCAATATGGTAGTTTCTACTTTTTCAACTACTTCATTCCGTACAAACAACCAGCAAGAGATGAGGGCAACGCATTCTAAGGTCAAAGGGCATCTCTGGAAATTGCATGGCACGACTTGGTCGTGGAATAGCTGTAGTGTTCGGGCTTGGGGGCAATGTGCCCGAGTGCTAAGGTAAATGGCTGGAGGGGTTAGACACAAAGCTTCCAGGCTTTGCTTTGTGAGAGCCTAGTAGGGCGTGGCCAGTACACCAGACTCTCGGGTTTTGGAGCTACAGAAACTTGAGGCCTCATACCGAGATTCCCTGATGTCTTCCTCCCCTAAACTCTAATAAACCCTAAATGCTAAACCCTAAACCCCTCTTGGGTTCCTGAGACTCTAAGTCTGGCCTGGTCTGTCTGAGCAAGATAGGAGTCATACACTGGGTACTGCCCCCACCCTGTAACAGTCTATATTAGGGGTCCTATTAAGGGCTATATATAGCCATATTATAATTATTACCCAGCTGTTACTGAGTGGGGGCAGTACGCAAGTCATACATCTTGTAACCAAGACAGGAGAAGGACGTGTGATAGCTTCGAGGCTTTTCCATTGTGCGCATCCCTAAGTTGCAAGCACCTGTTTGTAGTTAGGGTTTAGACTCTAGGGTTTAGGGTTGTGCCCACGGCTCCTGTGTGGAATGATGCAAAGGAAGGGACTCGACTAGCACTTGCTCATCAGTATGCATGGACGCCCTACCGTAGGGAGTACATAAGCCATGAAATTGTATCATGAATCATGGGTTCAGGGTTTAGGGCATAACCACATAAAAAATGCAAAAAACAACAACTGTTAGCTACAAAAGTGTTTCCTATACTCCCTATGCAGCTACATTGGCCGGAACCTCTTCCGGGAAAATTTCTAGAAATAAGGGTTACCAGTACGTAACCCCAATATCCTACAGTCCTCATTTTAGGACCTCCCCAAAAAAGGTACCCCCAAACCCTGAAGGTGAATGGTAGCAGGCCCCAAACCCTAAACCCTAAACCCCAAACCCTAAAGCCTAAACCCCAAACCCTTAACCCTAAACCCCAATCCCTTCACCCTAAACCCAACCTGCCATACACAACACACCCAGCTGAAGGCGGATCTCACAAACCCCTTGGTCATCACTTCGGGTTTTAGGGTTCAGGGTTGTTGGTCTGGATTTTTGGGTGTAGGGTTTCGTGTTCAGGCTTTAGAGGTCAGGGTTCAGGGTTCTATGGTGGTTCTTAGTCGGGAATAATGCAATATAATCCCTATCTACTATGTTCCCTATTCCCTACTAAGAGCCAGCAAGTCTAGAGTAAACCCCTAGACCCTAAACCCCTAAACCCTAAACCCGAAACCCCAAACCCTAAACTGTAAAGGGTTGAGAAGTCCAAGCCGCTCTGCAAAGGACAAATCCTCACAGTAGATGAGCCTCACCTGGGACAGTGTAGGTTTAGGGTTTCGGGGTTCAGGGTTTAGGGTTTACGCGAAACCCTAAACCCTAAACCCTAACCGGTCACATGTTTGGGGCTTTGGGCTTCGTGCCTGGGGTGTAATGTTGACCGCACATTAAGGACTAGTCCCACATGTATCAAAACTCGCCGGAACACACTTATAACTCATAACTAACAAGAACCCCAATTATGAAAGCCCGGCATTTTTTCGGGACAACGGCTTTCAATAGATGTATTGCAATTAGTTCAAAATAGTCTTTCGAACCAGCATTTTGGGCATTATGAAAAATTCGTGGGCTCCCCCAGAACGGAGATACATCAATGCGAGGCGGAGGGGGTTTTGGAAATGCGAAGATAGGGTTACATATATGTTCCGAGTTGAAGCACCCCCAACCTGAACTGAACTCTGCACCCTCAACAGCATACAGGGATATGATCCTCCTATCATCCCTGTAGACATATGGTACAAAGACCAAACCCTAGACCCTAAACCCTAAACTCTCTAAACCCTAAGCCCAATTAATCAGGCCCCCCACATTACACACAGTAGGTAGCTTGATAGGCCACCCCCCTCCTTAGGGCCCATTAGGGGCTATTGGGGCCCATGGGGGCAAAAGGCGCCTATGTCAAGCCTATCAAAAGCACGCAGGAGGACCCGGAAATCCTAAGCCCAAACCCTACCCAGTTAAGGGTTTAGGATTTATAGGCTTTAGGGTACAGTGTTTAGGGTTTAGGGTCAGAGTTCCAAATAATCACATACTTACCGAATCCTGGACTGCAGGTACTATTTGGGGTCTCCCAAAACCAGGGGTACGTTTGTGGCGGCCCCCACTGTGCGGATCAAACTAATTTGGGGCCTATTTTGGGGTCCCCCAAATAGGGAAACTACCCTAAACCCTGAACCCCCACGCCCTAAACACCAAACTCAGGTTCCAAATTATTGGGTACGCGGACCCTCCGGTCTAAACTACGTCATCTGCCTCAGACGTGCCCGGCAGCTTTCGCAGGGCGCCCTGCACCTGCTTGACATCGGTTTGGGGTTTAGGGATTTCTGGGCTGGGCTTTTGGGATGTGAGGTCTAGGATTTTAGGTTTCGGGGGGTTGAGGTGGATAAGGTCAAACAGTTAGGGTTAATGGGGGTTAGGGGTTTAGGGCATTGGGGCTTAGGCTTAGGAATCGAGAATTTGAAAAACATGATGTCCTACATTGTTGATAGGGTAGATACTGCAAATCTCTATTTTGAGAATTACCCGCGTGGGCGTGTCCTCAAGTAGAGCAAGTTATGAACAAGCTGAGGAGTAGTGGCCCTGAATACTCGACACCAACACCGTGGCAGCTATAGCTCTGCGTATTATTCCGACGAGTTGACTTCGTGTCCAGACCCGATTCCCATGCCACCCTGTACCCTGTGATCACTAAACTGGATCCCGCAGGCCACCAACATCATGACTCGATCCCTTCACCTTCAACGTCACAAGGATCAATATACCAAGGCCGGAGAAATTCATTAAAGCTGCATAACCTGAATATCCCTGAACGTACCTTCTTTCAAAACCCAGCCCCTTGCCTCAGCAAGATTCGCAATGGTGCGACGTTCATGTCGGTCAATGAGCAGCAATCCACCAGGACGACTTGCCCTTGCACGCTTTATGGACGCCAAGTTCATGGACAAAATCCTGCACGATCCTAAGTATACTATTCCTCGGATTAGCCTGTCAGTGCAAGTAGGTTCGCAGGGTTCTATGTGTAGATGCTGCAACAAGGCTTTTTTGTGCGGAATGCCTGTGGACAGCACAAGCATCTTGTTTTCCTGTCTGAACCTCGACTAAACCCTACAATGCTTCGGAGCCAGGAGCCCAAAAGAAGCTTGAAGCCCAAACAAATAGATCA